TTATCTTCCGAATTGTTATGCAATTCTGCTCATAACGCTCTTGGAACCTCCATTGAATTCATCAGAAGTTTTCCGCGAAAAGTCCATGGTATTCTTTTTATAATTATCTTGGAATTCACCGCGGAATGTCTAAAGAATACTTTCTAGAATTCTCTCGGAGTTCTCCTTTGGAATTATACCAATTTTCATAAATAATCCCTGAAAAGTCCTTCACGCTAAATCATTTACAAGCCTTGACCATTTCTCAGGGCCCAAAATCTTGAATAATTTTTCAAATATGGATTCGCGCAAAAAGTCAGTAAGCTTCAGTATTTCTAGTTATATTTTTTTTTTCGAAAGTTCGTTATTGTTTTCCGAAGGAGATTTGCCGACTTTATCGCTAAAACACTGCAAATTCTATTCAATATTTAATCCGCTGGAGAAAACCCCAGTTTTTTTTTTTTAATTATGTTTCATAATATTTTTTTTTTCTTATTCCCATCTGCCTCTGGAGTGCATTTTATAAAAAAAGTTAATAAATTTCTCATTGAATCCACCCCTCTGGCTCGGGTCGTTTTCGTAACTCTTATGTCACTGCACTTGAATAAAGTGAATTGATAGCTGAAAAACATAATTACAAAATTGGTTTCATTTCCATGATAAGCTTTCCGCAAAATCCACGCAACAGAACTATAAAAACGTGAGAAATCCGCGCCAAACGCAAATTTTGCACGAAAAACAAAATCCGTGCCAGCTGTAACAACCCTGAAATCGAGTTTAAGTAGCCAGTAAGCACACAAACGCAACTATAATCTAACTCTGCGTTCGCGCATAAAACAGGGACGAAATACTCAGCGGATGGCGAAAATTCCAGAGGGACGGAAAAATTGATCCAATGTTCTACAAAGTACCTCCCCCCTCCCTATTCAACTTCTACGAAGTTCCATCAACTTTTTCCAAGTACCATAATTATTTTTATTCCTAGTTCTCTAAATTGGACCACGATTTTAGGGCAGCCATGACCTTCTCTAAACTTTAGGAAAGACCTTGAATCTTTTCTACGAACGTTCCTAATTATCTGGGCGAAACAAAGTTCCCAATACTTCCAGTAAGATCCCAATTCAAACCCTAAAGTTCTAAGAAGAATGCTGAACTTTTACAATCTTTTGGCCGAACTTCTTTGAAGTTTCTTGAGCTTTAAATAAAAATCCCAGCACTTCTATAAAGTTTTGATGTTCCTCAAATTACTACGTGATTCGCTTGACTTCTACAAAGATCTCAGAATTCCTAGGAAGTTCACTATACTTCTACAAAGTTCCCTGAAGTTTTAAGAATTTCCTTAATTTCCTGCGAAGTTCCCTAAAGTTCTAGAAAGTTTCATGCATTTCTACGGAATTTCACAACCTATGTGAAGTACATTAAACGTTAACAAAGTGCCGTGAAACTAAAGGAAGAACTTTAACGTAGTTTCTTAAAATTAAACCAAGTTCTCTTAAGTTCAACGAAGTTCCCCAAACAGCGTGCTTTGTAAAAATTCAAGAAAACTTCGTAGAATAGTTTGTCATAACTACTGTAGACTTCCTTAGTGCCAATGCCAAGTACATCGCCAAGTGCTACGATTGCAATGCCCAGGGCTGTCGTCAAAATGTCCAACTCGATAGAATGTCTAGACTGGACCAGGAATCGGACCCACCGTATCTGGCTTTGTAATACCGTGTCTAACAGACTAGGCTATCTGCCCCGTAGCGTGGGTAGACCACCTTTTCGTGGTACGTTACGGGATGTAAGATCTACCACATCGAACTCTGGCCCGAAGGTCTTTTTCTTGACGGTTATAAACCTCGGTTTTGAGATTGGATACAAGAAAAGGTTCGGACCAGGGTTCCGATGCGTGGTCAAATATCAGAAGACCTATTTTGATTGCTGAGAAGTTGGATATTTGAAGTTATCCCAGATTTTTTTGTCAATTGAATGAGGACTCATGGAAGACCTATTTTGATTGATGAGAAAATTTGTTCGGAAAGGTCCTAGAACGCTTCTAATATAGCGAAACATCACGATTGAATGAAGTTTCTTGTAAGAAGAGCAAGTATGTATGATTTAACTGTATCGAAAACGAATACCTCATTACTTTTCCATAGTAATGAGGTACTACGATATGCACTAAACAAAGGACACGGACACATCACAAAAGATTAATGTATTGGTCGCAGTTATTATGACCCGAACAGAGGAACAAAAATGGTTACCTGATGCCCCTTTTCATAAATATATTTGTTTTTAATTCAAATTGCTCAGTTCGCACCCTGGCTTTACCTCTTTCTGCAAATCGGATTGCTTCAACTCAAAACTCTTTGAATATTTTAGTTTTCTAAATTTCTGACACTCGCTCATATATATTTGTTTTTATGGATATAAACACTCGCTAACCTCCTAAACTATCTACGTAGTTTATAGACAGCCCCAAAACCGTGACAGAATTACAATTTGACATTTTTATTGTTAATGTTAATGTTAATGTTAATGTAAGGTTTGTTCTACTTGCGCGTTGGTTTCAGGTAATTTCTTGTAGCGTCCTTTTTTCATTATACTTTGCAATTTCACATGTCAAAATATTAATATTATTGTGAATGCACTTAGCTGTAACTACTAATCACTTGTTTGTGCTGCGGAGAAGTAAGCAAAGTCTGGAATTTACAAATATATAAACCTCGCAAATCTTGAGATTTGTGCTCTTGAAATTGCGAAGTGTGATAAGAAAATGGACTCTATAAGGAAACATATGATCAAGATAAACTGGATTGACTTATCTAAATACTTTTATTAAAAAAGGGAATGATAGCCTTTAACCACCAGTTCAGCTTGACGCCGACGAAATCGAACTGATTTGCAGGTTCGTATACTTGAGCTCACCGTATGACCACCGATAATGGCACCAGCAGAGAAATTCAACGATGCTTTGTGGCAGGGAATCGTGCTTACGTTGGAGTCTAGAGGACTTCAGATTACCATCGTACAAAGTTGACTATGTATCTACAAAACACTGACCGAAAGTACTCGTAGCCGTAACTTGGACTAAACTCGTGGAGGCCCAGGTGAATGGCGACCTGCAGAACTTTGGATTGAATGAAATGGAGTTAAATCTTATGCACAGCACAGGCAGAACCCAGCCTTAGACTTAATGGCAAGATAAATAATATAATTCATAACATTAGATGTCATTATTTGTATAAAACTATAAAACTAGCGTGGGGCTTTAGGTAGTGATGAAACGTCGCTAGAACTATCCAACAGCCGCAGACAGTTTATGAGCAAGTCAAATGCGTACCTTTTTGCCTATGAGATTTGAAGAATAACTTCAAATCTCCTCGTACATTGTACGAGTTAGGTAGAGAAGTGTGCTTTTGACTAGTACTGTCGCATTAATGGCCCTTCGCTCAATTTCAACTTCCATCCAATTTTCACACTGCCGTACTCTCGCGGAACTATCAACCTATCCTCTTCAGAACTTTCTCTAGCTAATAAATTTTCCCGGTAAAACTTCATGTTAGATAGCATTTCCAACCAACAACCCCGACTTGAAAAGTTTTTGGATTACTACATTACAGAATCTGTATATTCGGTGATTGATTACAAATACTGTATCTTGATACGATCTTGATTTTACCGGATGCAATTTCGAATAGCGTTAAGGTGATACGATCTGGACCTTGCTCTGATGCCACTTCGCATTTTTCGAAGTATAATTAGCAAATATGGAGAAGTAAATTTCATGCTTGAAATCGCAATAGAGTGCGAGATTCACCCCCTAGAAAATTCTAAGTGGCCGTGCAATTCTACTGGTGATTTGTGGACGCTGAGTTGTATCACCTTAAATGAAATACACAATGCCGCAGAGTTTTAAGATACCTTATAGTTCTACATCGGATAATTTCAACGATCACAAAAACTTGGCATTGTTTATCTTCTTTCAACGAAACACAACCACGATTTAATGTAAATTATGAATAATTAATTTCTTTTGTTTTCAACGAAAACCATCAAACCTAGTAAAACACGTCGGATCCTTTATGCAACCGATTCATTCACGATCAACTGGATTCAAATTATTCGAATACCAATTGACTAACTTTCTGCAGACACCATGCCCGATAGCACTAAAAGAGGACTGCCGGAGCCACAGTCATAACTAATCATTTCTATTACCGGCACAAAACTTCCAAGTGGGACATCTTCTTCTCAACCAGTTTTACGACAGCACGCTAACTTTCAACGCCAAGCAGCGAGCTCGTGCAGCACTGAACGACACTGAAAGGGCAATCATGCTTTCAGTTTTAGCAGCCCAAATTTTGCGAGCAAAGCAAAAATCTCCCTCATCTGAAACAGGTATCGTTATTGTTCTTGAAACCAATCGCTCGATCGGAGCCCCTGGGTTTCATTATCTGTACTGCAGCGTGAAATGTATCACAGCTAAGGCAACATCCCACAACAACCAGCTGAGCCTACAGATAAAACTACAAACACTACCTTGAGGCGGTAGAAGTATCCATTCTCAGTCACATTGAAACAGTTTCGCTTATTTTCGTTTTTCGTTTTATGAACAACTTCATCAACCTTGGCGGGCACATGTTGCGACCAAATCAAGCTGCTGCACCGACCCGTCGGAGATTGTTTGTGTTCCGTGTTTTCACTAATATGGTATGCGCACTTTGCAAAAACACAGACTCTGTTTTTTTTTGCCTTAGTTCATTATTCTCCATTCAAACGCGATTTGATTTCGCAAACGGTTGGAGTGTGAACTTAACCTACAAATTGCCAGAATTAGTATTGCAGTCGATCGTGGACAGGTCGGTGAACCAACCGGCGGAGACACCGCGCCAAAGTTGAATGATCCGTTCAAAAACAAATCGCCCCTCCAGACGACGAGCGTCCGGTCGATATCGAACCGAGTGAGAGGTACCTGTACTCGACTTCAATGGCACAGATTAACTTTAGGATCGGCCTGACGCCGCTCCGCTCACCTATCCAGCCAGTCAGTAGAATGTAGCTGCTCGAGTTGAAATCCTTGCCGAACCGATGATGTTGTCCTAGATGTACGATGTACGTACGATCCGGAAGTCCGATCGCGACGACCCGTTTCGGGTGCTGTGCAAAGTGAAACTGAACAACGTCGCGCGCACGTCCGCGTGTTTAGAAGATGATTACAGATCGAAAAAAGGCACGGCACGGCGCGCGTCAGTTCGTCAGTCTTGGACGAACGACGAATTGATACTGAATGGGTTCATGCGAAACAAGCTGCATAGTATACTGGCGGACGACGATGACGACGACGATGACGGCCGGCTTTCGATGATATTGTTGTCACTCAGCTAGTGCAGATCGGTGTTTGAGTGGACCGAGAAGCCGGCTCAAGAGGGTACGGTAACCGATATGCGACTCTTGGCTTCTCTTTGCCTCCCGCGCCACCCCGCAGTCGCCATCAATCAACTGCTCGGGTGTAGGATGTCAATAATGATGGGTGGCGTTGGTGGTGATCCGGTGCGAGGGTGGATGGTTGTAAACATTTGCGTGACAGTCAGATGTGAAAGCGAAAGGGGTTTGTCTGAAGAGGTGTAGATGTGCGTACGATCGTAAAAATGAGGGTGGATTTTTTTTTTTGAAAATAGTTATGTTTTTAACTGGAATGTTGCATCAGTTATTCTATAATTTAAGGAACACCACGAATTGTCTAGTCGACTGGATGTGGGCCATCGTAGTGAAGGCAAGGCATGTTGCTGTGTTATAATCTCATAGTTATATGCAAAGCTATCCTGAATCGGATGCAGGACAAGATCGACGCTCGGAAGATCTTGTGTGGACCACATTGTCACGCTCTGTATCATCCTGGAGCAGATTAACGCATTCCAAGAGTCCTAGTATTAGGTATTATTTGACTACGTAAAAAGGTCAAGTGCAAGGAAGTGCAGTATTAGGCTTTCATGTGTAAAGTTCTGAGTTCACTTGTAAGTTGTAGATTATCACCCAGTGATGCCCACATTCCAGCTTAAGCTGGATTCTTCTAAGAAAATCAAAACCTTTAAGATTCAAACTACAACTCCAAGATATTGAGCATTTGCAAAGTGTTGGAATCCCAGAATTTAAAGAATGAAGACTAATTTCTCTTCTTTTTAAACTTTATTTGCGAGATTTCTTCTTCTTCTTCTTCTTCTTCTTATTCTTCTTCTTATTCTTCTTCTTCTTATTCTTCTTCTTCGCATTTCAAGCTTATTGCATATCGCATATTAGCTTATAGCGTGCTCTCAACTTAGTGTTCTAGATGCACTTCCACAGTTATTAATTGAGAGCTTTCGATGCCTGTACCATTTTTGCATTGGTATAGCTGTGTGGCAAGTCCAATCATACTTCTATGCCCAGGGAAGTCGAGAAATTTTCCAACCCGAAAAATTCCTAGACCGGACCGGAAAATGAACCCAGCCACCTCCAGCATGGTCTTGCTTTGTAGCTGCGCCTTTACCGACTGAGCTAAGGAAGACCCCAGATTTGTAGCCCGAAATTTTAGCCAGAATCCGCAATCTTACACACATTTCAAATTACAGCAGTTCAAATATTTTTGCTAGTTTCTAATCTTGGAAAATTCTCCATGTCCGGAATATTTAATTTAAAATAAAACTCCTTGAATCTTGAAGATTGTTCTAAATCCAGGATTATACAATTTTCTAAGCATGAAATCTAAAAAAACGAAGCCATCAATTTAAGTTTTTTTTTTATATCATTAATCTGGGTCATTTCATGCCAAGTGTCCGAGGTAGTTTTTTTTTTTTTTCTTTATTAAAGAGACTTTCAGTCTTGGGCTGGTTTGTCTCTGGTCCGAGGTAGGTAAAATTGACTTCTTTCGATTTGGCCCACAATTCTTCTTCTTTCCTTTATTTAACGTCGGTGTCTATTCCGAAATCTAGTGCCAATCAACGAAAGACATCGATTGCCATATCCATTGACGGCAATCGAATGTGCAGGAAGGCAGCTTCCACACCTGCGTAGGATATCGCACCCATTCAACACACATGGGCCGGGACTAACGGCTTTACTTCCCTTCCGAAGGAAGACGTGACCAGAGATTTTTATGCTTCAGAAAAATCCCACCGAGCTCGGCTGGGATTGAACCCAGACCCATTGGGGTGAGAAAGCAGTCACGATTAGTACTACGCCACCAAAATTTGGAAAAGATGTTTATTTTAGTCAGTCCGCATCGTGCTCTCTTGCCGTGCGGATCTATTTGCTTTTTGCTGGAAGTGTTACTACTACCTAAAGCTACAACAAATTTAAACAGCACTTTTCAGTGCTCAACCTGTAAAAATTTTCTACCTTGTTCAACTCTTATTCCTCTTCGATCCTTGTTTGGACCCTACCCGAGGTAATCCTTCTTGGATATCGATTTGGAAAATTCCTCTTCGATCCTTCAGATTCTTATAGTAATCTGCTTGGAAGTCGATTTGGATAAAAATTTACTGCCGCCATGGCGCCTAAACGCAAAAGAAAGGGGCAAACTCTTGACCCCCCTTCTGATGAAATTAATTTGAGTAATCAATTTGATTCGCTCACGGATGATGAGAATGATCCATCATCCAAGAAAAATTCTAGTAAACTTTCCCGGCTTAATGCCAAGAAGGAAAAGATTCCCCCTATTGTGATAACCACTACCGATTTCCATGCTCTTCTCATGGAACTTTTGAATTTCGTGAAAGTTAAGTTTTCACTACAAATTGGACGTCGGGGTGAATGCCGTGTATTGGCTGAAACCTTGGACGGATTTAAATGTCTTCTCAAGTATCTTACTGAGAAGAAGCACAAATTTTTTACGTACGACACCAAAACTGAACGTGTGTTCAAGGTTGTCATGAAAGGACTGCCCAGTGGTGAATCCCTGGATCAGATCAAAGATGAACTGGCAAAATTACTTGGAGTTGTGCCACTTCAAGTAATCAAAATGAAAATGAAATCCCGTCCTGGCGATTCGCGCAACGGGATTTCTAATGATTTTTATTTAGTTCACTTCAAGTCTAGTGAACTAAACAACCTTAAGGCCTTAGAAAAAGCTAGCCTTATGCTCCATGTCCGAGTGAAGTGGGAACACTTCAGGAAGACTGGAGGAAATTTCCAAAACCTCACCCAGTGCCGTAAGTGCCAGGGATGGGGTCACGGAACAAAAAATTGCTACATGCCAGCTAAATGCATGAATTGTGGTGATTCCTCTCACGCAAAGGACGACTGTCCTGTGAAGGAAGATCCTAAGAAATTTAAATGTTCAAATTGTGGTGAAAACCACAAATCCAATTTTTGGGAATGTAAGACTCGCAAAGCGATCCTACAATCTCGTTCTAACCGTCAGGTAGGAAACGCTCCACGTTTCCGACCAGGTACAAATTCCTCTGCTGTTAACAACGGTCAGCGAGGAACAAATTCTACATTCGTACCCGTAGGTACAAATATCTCCCCTGCTTCAAATGTAAACATTTTAAATTGGAATGCTCGATCTCTTAAGGATAATGAAGACGAGCTATTTAACTTTTTGAGAGTTCATAACGTGCATATTGCCGTTATAACTGAAACGTTCCTTAAACCTGACCATAAGGTTAAGAAGGACGCAAATTACTTGATTTATAGAAATGATCGTCTTGATGGACCCTGTGGTGGCGTTGCCATCATTATTCATAGACGAATCAAACATAAAATTCTTTCTTCATTTGAAACCAAAGTTTTTGAAACTTTGGGAGTTTCTGTTGAAACAAAATTTGGACAACTTACGTTTATAGCTGCCTATTTGCCATTCCAATGCGTAGGCCAGAAAAAGAATTTTCTCAAGGGTGACCTCCAAAAACTTACCCGTCATAGGTCTAAATTCTTCATTATTGGTGATTTTAATGCAAAACACCGCTCATGGAATAATGCTCAAAGCAATTCCAATGGTAATATTCTGTTTGATGATTGTTCTGCAGGTTATTACACTATTCAATATCCAAACAGCCCAACATGCTTTTCTTCTGCAATAAATCCCTCCACTATTGATTTGGTCTTAACTGATTCATGTCAACTTTGTAGCCAATTGGTTACCCATGCTGACTTCGGTTCTGATCACCTTCCAGTAACTTTTGAAATATCCCAAGAAATAATTTGTAATCCCAACAGCTCTACTTTCAATTACCATAGAGCTGATTGGGAGCAGTATCGAACATTTATGGAATATAACTTCGATCCAAACATTCCTTTGCAAACCAAAGATGAAATTAATTATGCTCTTGAATCTCTGACTACTTCTATAGTTGAAGCAAGAGCTGCCTCAGTACCAAAATGCGAGGTTAAATTCGATTCAATTATAATAGACGATGATCTTCAGCTCTTGATCCGTCTTAAAAATGTCCGTAGGAGACAATATCAAAGAACACGCGATCCTGCCATGAAAGTTATCTGGCGGGATTTGCAAAAACAAATTAAAAATCGATTCTCTGCCCTGAGGAACAAAACTTTTGAAAATAATATTTCTAAATTAGACCCGAGTTCCAAACCCTTTTGGAAACTCACAAAAATTTTGAAAAAACCTCAAAAGCCTATTCCAGCGCTTAAAGAAGGTGGTAAAATTTTGATCACAAATTTGGAAAAAGCTCAGAAACTTGCTAAGCAATTCGAGAGTTCCCATAATTTCAGTTTGGGTCTTACTAGTCCTATTGAGAATCAGGTTGCTCGGGATTTTCGGAATATTTTCTCTCGGGAAAATATTTTTGATGATTCCTGGGGGACTGATTTGGACGAAGTAAGGTCTATAACTAAAAAGTTTCAAAATATGAAAGCTCCCGGTGATGATGGAATTTTCTATATCCTCATCAAAAAACTCCCAGAGAGTACCTTGTCTTTCTTGGTAAAATTATTTAACAGATGTTTCCATTTGGCATACTTTCCTGATAAATGGAAAAATGCAAAAGTTGTTCCAATTTTGAAACCGGATAAAAATCCAGCTGAAGCTTCTAGCTACCGTCCAATAAGTTTGCTTTCTTCAATAAGTAAACTTTTTGAAAAGATAATTTTGAATAGAATGATGCTTCACATCAATACGAACTCAATTTTTGCAGATGAGCAGTTTGGATTTCGCCATGGGCATTCAACTACTCATCAACTCTTAAGAGTTAACAATTTAATTCGTTCAAACAAATCTGAAGGCCACTCAACTGGAGTTGCTCTTCTAGACATAG